CTCATAGCGCATGCGCAACTTTAACCATGCCCCCCAAAATGCTCGTTCACATCAAGCACGTCAATTTGCGTACACGTAACAGCACCGCACGTTCATGACAGCATGGTAATGGTTTGTTATTATGATAGATTTGATATTAACGAGGCGGCAGTTAGCAGCTAGCGGTTAGCTAGTAATTATGCTAATTTACACATCAATCGTTATGTACTTTTATATTACGCTGTAACAGGATCTAGTGATATCCAAGCAACAGAGCTTCATTTAGCATGAAAGAATTATTGCACTGTATATATATATATATATATGTATATATATACACACAGTGCAATAAGCTTCTTAGTGCAATAAGAAGCTACAGGGACGTTAATCTACGTCGGTAATATTAACTTTATTTAATACAACATTTACGGTACAAGATTTAATCATACAGCCCATGTAGTATAATATTTTACAAATGATGAATTACAGCAAACATGTGCAATATATCCATTATTACAGCTCCGTGGGCTGGCAGTAAGGCGATATGGGTCCGTTCTTATTGTACATCCATGGGTAAAGATAAACGCATGTAGTAGTGCTGAACACGTAACATGAACGTGCCGGGCGGCGCGGTCCCGTGGGTTAGATGCGCGTTCATAATGCAGAGGGAAATAACTCTCAGAATAACGTTATTAGCACATTTTTACAACTTGAGGAACGAATGTTTTTAATAAGGGCTATACAAGTGTTCATACTGGGTAGTTTATTTAGTTTAAAAAAAATTATCCAACGATTTACAGACCACTCTGTCCCCATGTAAGTCAATGGGAAAAAGTGTTTCCGGGCCTGGCAACCAAAAGGAAGTGTAGTACCGCCGTTTGGCCAGCACGAATATTTTCATCTGAGTCCGGCGCACTTCCTGGGGGCTTGATTTGAACACGATCCGTGTATCCATCATTTCCTGGTCTTCTCTAAAGAAGAGGGACCAATGAAAACGTTGTCATGTTGCCGTTGTTCAGCATGGAAACATTCATTAGCTAACAATGACATTATTGTTCTATTAATATAAAGGGAGGTCAGGTACTCTTTAAAACAGCTGCTAGTTATGGGTACTTTTTACTGAAGTACATTTCAAAGTTCTTTACTTTGACTTGAGTAAAGAAGTTTAGTCAGTACTTCTACTTTCACCAGAGTATTTTTAAACACGAGTCTCTGTACTTCTACTTGAGTAAAGGATGTGTGTACTTCTACCTGAGTAAAGGATGTGTGTACTTCTACTTGAGTACAGGATGTGTGTACTTCTACTTGAGTAAAGGATGTGTGTACTTCTACTTGAGTAAAGGATGTGTGTACTTCTACTTGAGTAAAGGATGTGTGTACTTCTACTTGAGTACAGGATGTGTGTACTTCTACTTGAGTACAGGATGTCTGTACTTCTACTTGAGTAAAGGATGTGTGTACTTCTACTTGAGTACAGGATGTGTGTACTTCTACTCAGTAAAGGATGTCTGTACTTTCTACTTGAGTAAAGGATGTGTGTACTTCTACTTGAGTAAAGGATGTGTGTACTTCTACTTGAGTACAGGATGTGTGTACTTCTACTCAGTAAAGGATGTCTGGACTTCTACTTGAGTAAAGGATGTGTGTACTTCTACTTGAGTAAAGGATGTGTGTACTTCTACTTGAGTACAGGATGTGTGTACTTCTACTTGAGTAAAGGATGTGTGTACTTCTACTTGAGTAAAGGATGTGTGTACTTCTACTTGAGTAAAGGATGTGTGTACTTCTACTTGAGTACAGGATGTGTGTACTTCTACTTGAGTAAAGGATGTGTGTACTTCTACTTGAGTAAAGGATGTGTGTACTTCTACTTGAGTAAAGGATGTGTGTACTTCTACTCAGTAAAGGATGTGTGTACTTCTACTTGAGTAAAGGATGTCTGTACTTCTACTTGAGTAAAGGATGTCTGTACTTCTACTTGAGTAAAGGATGTGTGTACTTCTACTCAGTAAAGGATGTCTGTACTTCTACTTGAGTAAAGGATGTGTGTACTTCTACTTGAGTAAGGATGTGTGTACTTCTACTTGAGTAAAGGATGTGTGTACTTCTACTTGAGTAAAGGATGTCTGTACTTCTACTTGAGTAAAGGATGTCTGTACTTCTACTCAGTAAAGGATGTGTGTACTTCTACTCAGTACAGGATGTGGTACTTCTACTTGAGTAAAGGATGTGTGTACTTCTACTTGAGTAAAGGATGTGTGTACTTCTACTTGAGTAAAGGATGTGTGTACTTCTACTTGAGTAAAGGATGTGTGTACTTCTACTTGAGTAAAGGATGTGTGTACTTCTACTTGAGTACAGGATGTGTGTACTTCTACTTGAGTAAAGGATGTGTGTACTTCTACCTGAGTAAAGGATGTGTGTACTTCTACCTGAGTACAGGATGTGTGTACTTCTACCTGAGTAAAGGATGTGTGTACTTCTACCTGAGTACAGGATGTGTGTACTTCTACCTGAGTACAGGATGTGTGTACTTCTACCTGAGTACAGGATGTGTGTACTTCTACCTGAGTAAAGGATGTGTGTACTTCTACCTGAGTACAGGATTTGTGTACTTCTACTCAGTAAAGGATGTGTGTACTTCTACTCAGTAAAGGATGTGTGTACTTCTACTCAGTACAGGATGTGTGTACTTCTACTCAGTAAAGGATGTGTGTACTTCTACTCAGTAAAGGATGTGTGTACTTCTACTCAGTAAAGGATGTGTGTACTTCTACTCAGTACAGGATGTGTGTACTTCTACTCAGTAAAGGATGTGGTACTTCTACTGAGTAAAGGATGTGTGTACTTCTACCTGAGTAAAGGATGTGTGTACTTCTACTCAGTAAAGGATGTGTGTACTTCTACTCAGTAAAGGATGTGTGTACTTCTACTCAGTACAGGATGTGTGTACTTCTACTCAGTAAAGGATGTGTGTACTTCTACTCAGTACAGGATGTGTGTACTTCTACTCAGTACAGGATGTGTGTACTTCTACTCAGTAAAAGATGTGTGTACTTCTACTCAGTAAAGTATGTGTGTACTTCTACTCAGTAAAGGATGTGTGTACTTCTACTCAGTAAAGGATGTGGTACTTCTACTCAGTAAAGGATGTGTGTACTTCTACTGAGTAAAGGATGTGTGTACTTCTACTCAGTAAAGGATGTGTGTACTTCTACTCAGTAAAGGATGTGTGTACTTCTACTCAGTAAAGGATGTGGTACTTCTACTCAGTAAAGGATGTGTGTACTTCTACTGAGTAAAGGATGTGTGTACTTCTACTCAGTAAAGGATGTGTGTACTTCTACTCAGTAAAGGATGTGTGTACTTCTACTCAGTAAAGGATGTGTGTACTTCTACTGAGTAAAGGATGTGTGTACTTTTACTCAGTAAAGGATGTGTGTACTCCTACTTGAGTAAAGGATGTGTGTACTTCTACTCAGTAAAGGATGTGTGTACTTCTACTCAGTAAAGGATGTGTGTACTTCTACTTGAGTAAAGGATGTGGTACTCCTACTCAGTAAAGGATGTGTGTACTTCTACTTGAGTAAAGGATGTGTGTACTCCTACTCAGTAAAGGATGTGTGTACTTCTACTTGAGTAAAGGATGTGGTACTTCTACTGAGTAAAGGATGTGGTACTCCTACTCAGTAAAGGATGTGTGTACTTCTACTTGAGTAAAGGATGTGTGTACTCCTACTCAGTAAAGGATGTGTGTACTCCTACTCAGTAAAGGATGTGTGTACTTCTACTCAGTAAAGGATGTGGTACTTCTACTGAGTAAAGGATGTGGTACTCCTACTCAGTAAAGGATGTGTGTACTTCTACTTGAGTAAAGGATGTGTGTACTCCTACTCAGTAAGGATGTGTGTACTTCTACTGAGTAAAGGATGTGGTACTCCTACTCAGTAAATGATGTGTGTACTTTACTTGAGTAAAGGATGTGTGTACTTCTACTGAGTAAAGGATGTGGTACTTCTACTCAGTAAAGGATGTGTGTACTTCTACTCAGTAAAGGATGTGGTACTTCTACTGAGTAAAGGATGTGGTACTTCTACCTGAGTAAAGGATGTGTGTACTTCTACTTAGTAAAGGATGTGGTACTTCTACCTGAGTAAAGGATGTGTGTACTTCTACTTGAGTAAAGGATGTGGTACTTCTACTGAGTAAAGGATGTGGTACTCCTACTCAGTAAAGGATGTGTGTACTTCTACTCAGTACAGGATGTGTGTACTTCTACTCAGTAAAGGATGTGGTACTTCTACTGAGTAAAGGATGTGTGTACTTCTACCTGAGTAAAGGATGTGTGTACTTCAACTCAGTAAAGGATGTGTGTACTTCTACTCAGTAAAGGATGTGTACTTCTACTCAGTACAGGATGTGTGTATTCTACTCAGTAAGGATGTGTGTACTTCTACTCAGTAAAGGATGTGTGTACTTCTACTCAGTAAGGATGTGTGTACTTCTACTCAGTACAGGATGTGTGTACTTCTATTCAGTACAGGATGTGTGTACTTCTACTCAGTAAGGATGTGTGTACTTCTACTCAGTAAGTATGTGTGTACTTCTACTCAGTAAAGGATGTGTGTACTTCTACTCAGTAAAGGATGTGGTACTTCTACTCAAGTAAAGGATGTGTGTACTTCTACTGAGTAAAGGATGTGTGTACTTCTACTCAGTAAAGGATGTGTGTACTTCTACTCAGTAAGGATGTGGTACTTCTACTCAGTAAAGGATGTGTACTTCTACTCAGTAAAGGATGTGTGTACTTCTACTCAGT